TTTGTCGTCACGCCCAACAGCGTACAGCACCTCTCCGCCACTCGTTATAGCTGCAGATATTTTCCGCGCTTTTCTTAATTCAAGCAGGAAGTTCAGGGCCTCCTGTCGGGCTGGCGTCAGGCTTTCATTAATGTATAACTTCTGCCCTCGCAACTTTGACTTGGCCTTATACACCTGGTCTCGTAAGGAGCCACGCTCGTCGCTAGCAAACCTGACTAGCAGGCGGTTCCTTGACAAGCGTTGCACACTTGCAATGTGGCCTGGGCTTACCTCCAGTTCCAGGTGTCGATTTATCAAGGCCGCTACGGCTGGCTGAAGAGCCCGGTCGTTGTTGGGGATGTGTAGGTCATCCCCAGAGAAGATCAGCACTGGTCTCCTTCGCAGCCTGTCTGCCTCCTCTTTGTCATTTTCGAGCCGTTCCAGGCGTCCTCGGAGACAATTAATTTCTTCGTTCACGTTTTTCACGTCCTTCTCACACTGGTTCAGTTTTCGTGATGTCTCCATTATCGTTTCGTAAGCAAAGTTCAGTGATTCCTCTATGCTGGTTATTTTTAAGTCAAATGCCCTTCTTATTTCGTTGACGGCCTCACCAGTTTTTGTTTCGATGAAGGTTTTGAGCTCCTCTATCGCATCTTGCAATTTCGGCCCTCCTTCATCTTCCTTTTCCGGCGTTCCTGATTGGTGACGCCTCTTTCTGCCCTTCGTCATCACTCCTCACTTCAATGTCTCGTCTCAGCTCTCACTCACACGCACCTCTACCCGCCCGCTGCGGTCACTGACACACCGCCGGGTCAGGTCGGGACGCGGCCGGCCGGAGGAGGCCCACGCACGTCCGCTCGCCACGGCTGTCGCGACGCAAAAACATTTCAGAGCGAGAACACTGCTGACTTGCGTCAGACCGGGCGGCTTAGAACAGAGTGACCGCGCAAATGCACTCAAACCCCGCGCCGTCACCGTCACGTGACACGAGTCGCTCCACCAATCAGAGGAGGCCGTCGCCTTAGCGGCCTTGCCGCCCGGGGGCGCAGGCGGCCGCCCGCCTGCCGCCGAACGCTGCTCGCAGAGGCCGGCCCGGCTCCGGGGCCGCCCCAGAGAAGACGCTCGTAGTGTCGCGGAAAAACCGGTTATATCTTGTCATATATAACCGGGCGTATTTTCCGCATCCCCTTCGAGCTGCCAGCAAACATAGAGACAATTAGCTATGCTATGCGTAACCAATCTCAGCGCAAACCTCACAACCAAGTCCCTCCAGTAAAACACTGTAGCTGTACAAAAAGGGGCTATTGGTATATTCAGCCCAAATGAACACGACACAAACATACTAGCAAGTATACATGTCTCAACCGAGACTGCCCTGCCAACGGGCCGCCACCCCTCCCCCCGCGCGGCGCAATGGTGTCCCCACCCATTCAATACATCCACCCAGACACCAATGCGCCAACATAAAACACCCCCTTCCCGAGACCAGCAGACCGAATGGGGGATACAAATTAACACAGAAGACCTATAGTTACCGCCAGTGTCGAGACCAGTGGCGGAACCCACCCAAATACCTACGTGCTTGGTTGAAGGAAGGTAATTATTTCCTCAACCTGGCCCGAAGCTTACCAGAAACGCCACGATCCCTAAAACCTGCCAACATGAATGTGAGCGATACAGTGGTCACCAATGAAGAACAATATTACGGCATTTATACCGAAGCCCTTACAGCAGGACTAATAACCAGTAGCATTAGCCACTACTGCGATGATAGCCTCCACCAACTAAAGGCCCGCGATGTACCCGCCGAAAAAAACAACCATCCATGAGTTCTGAGGCATCTGACGACAGAAGCTGTATTTTCCTTACCTTGAGCCCACGCACATGCCTCTCAGCGCGACCATTAATTTTCCCAGAACTTTGGAAGGGGTTAGAACAGTATCAACGAAGGTCGTTGACAGCCGCCCAGCAAAAAAGGGGAGGGCTCTCAGCCCGCTCCAGGAATCAGCGCTCTAAGCCGCCGTAAGGACACCCGCGCTACCGGGCGTCCTAGCGGCAGCGACCTAAGGGTAGACTAGCGAGCCGCCCCGTGTCCGTTGTAGAAGGTGGAAGAATGGAGCATCCCGGGCAGCACCCGAGGCCATGAGAAACTGCTTCCCCGGGCAGACTAGCGAGCTGCTTTTTTCTTTTATTATTGTTATTGTTATTGTTATTATTATTATTATTATTGTTATTATTTTAGCGCCGCACCTTAAAAAAAAACAAAACAAAAAAAAACATGAAAACCCATTGGTTGTTAGGCAACTGAAAACAGAGGCCGCAGCCACTGTTACGTGTACCTTAGCCCCTGTGCTATACGTGGCAATGACAACGACCATGAATGTTACCTAAAACTTTGCAAGGGCTTAAAACAGTGACCACGAAACTATAGGTAATCAGGTCATAGATAGCCGACAAGCAAAAAGGGGAGAGCTCTCAGCGCGCGCCGGCATCAGCATTCCAACCCTCCGGAATGACGCCTGCGCTAGACCGGCGTCCTGGCGGCAGCCACCTCCAAGCAGACAAGCAAGCCGCCCCGAGGCCGTTGTAGAAAAGTACAACCTCGGCAGACTAGACAGCTGCCCCGAGGCCGTTGTAGAAGGGGACATCCCCGGGTATACTAGCGGGCTGTCCCGAGGCCGTTGCAGGAGAGGACACCCCCGGGCAGACTAGCGAGCTGCCCCGCGGGGTCGTTGTAGAAGGGGACACTCTGGGGCAGACTAGCGAGCTGCCCCGAGGCCATTGTAGAAGGGGGCACCCCGGGCAGACTAGCGAGCTGCCCCGAGGCCGTTGTAGGAGAGGACACCCCCGGGCAGACTAGCGAGCTGCCTCGGGGTCGTTGTAGAAGGGGATACCCCCGGGCAGACTAGCGAGCTGCCCCGGGGTCGTTGTAGAAGGGGACACCCCCGGACAGACTAGCGAGCTGCCCCGGGGTCGTTGTAGAAGGGGACATCCCCCCCCGCTCGCCACGGCTGGCTGCCGGCTGGGCCGCCCGGTCAGGGCGCGGAGTCAAATACACGGCAGTGTGCTGACCCGAGGTCAGCGACTTAAGCTGACTTCACCAGAACAAACAGTATACCATTCGACGCGCCGGAGCTAGGCAAACACAAAGATGCTAAAATCGCGGTTCTGCGACCATTTGTTGCGAAGTTATCTATCAAAAACCGGACCCGTAATTTGGGTCACTTGAAATGACCTCAGGGGTCACCAATGAACCCGAGACCTTAAAGTGTGGTATTATTCGATGCATCTTGTAACGGCGCACATGCTCGTTTTTTTCCGCAAGGTTCTAGCTCCATTAGAAGCGAAACGGCGAGCTGGGGTGACCCCCGGAAACTCATTTTGTATACACTAAAATGAGGAACTTATAGAAAAGAACACCTTTCTAATTTTTTGCATGTCGATTTTAAAGGACCTGAGGTATATTTTGAAAAAATAAAAATGGCAAAAATTTTGGTCCCAAGGGCCATTAAAGACAATTTAAAAAAATACTACGACTTTTTTCAATATGTTAAGCTTTTCTTTCCAATTTTAAAAATACTGTATCAATCTTTGATTCATCGTTAGTTCAAAGCTGTTTACCGTTTGTTGCTTGCTTAGCTCGTTTTTGAGTTATAGCTCATCAAACTCACCCTTACAATCTGAAGTTTAGAAAATATTATGCAATGTAACTCAAAAAGTTTTGATCTGAGAAGTCTGATATTTTGACAGGTGTTTTTGGAGCCTATGACTACCCATTGTACCAATTTTCATTCAAATCTGAGAGATGAGGGTTACGGGCCTGGTACGATCTATCGTGGAATGCCCCCCCCCCCCCCCTATCAGTGGCAGGCTCCTGGCTACCCCTATTAGTGGCAGGGCTGTTTACGACCCCCCCTTGATATCTCGAGATCTAACGGGCCGATTTTCAAAATTCAAACGGCATTCGATTTCGCTCAACGTGATCTACATTTCTAAAAAATAAAAATTAAAAAATGTCAATAGGGGGGGTAGAGGGGGGTAAAAACGGGCAAATTGCAGATACATTTTAGACTGTTTATCACGGCCAGGTTTCTGAACCAATCTTAACGCAACTTTTGCCGATCGATAGAGAATGAACCAGGAATTCACATGGATCCTAAAAATATGCATTTTCAAAAATCATAGGCGGATACAGATCATTGAGATTGGGGGTACACAAAGTATAGTAAATAAGGTTTTTGTTGGTACTGTTTCTAAAAAGGGCTGGTAATGGTCTTGTTATGTTACAATTTTCTTATGAGATAACGACTACAATTGTATTGGTCATGCATAGGCGGTGTCAGGGCACCTATGTTGGGAGGTAAAACATAACCCCCTTTTTGGACGCCTGGATCCGCCTATTATAGCAAAAACGTGTCAAAAGAGGATACACAATAACTGTATATGTTATCACATGATACCTTTCATTCACTGTTCGTAAAACTGGTGCAGCATCGTGATCTTCGCCCAAATGACTCGCTTCACGAATAGGACCCCCCAATTCCCAGTGCTCTGGAGCCGCCCCTGGTAAAGTTATGAGCTTGAAAGTTTCAGGGAATGTGCCCAATTTAGTTTTAGGAAAAGTCAGAAAATTTCAGCATCGTAGCTTCAGCGGTTTCGGAGATATTCCCGAAAAACCTGAGGGGTGGATAAAAACAACCCCCCTGCCACTAATAGGGTTAAAGCTCTCGAAGGTAAACATTATTATTGACGTTAGGAATATCTGAACAGACCACAATCTAAATAGCAATTTGCACCTATGCATAAGTAGAACTTATCACCTTGCACATCGCATTATAAAGGCTCGTGCATTTCGCTTTAATGAAAAACAGCAGATTGTTCTCGAGCCAACTTCTATGATTTTTAAGACTTGCAATATTTCAAAAATGAAACAATTTGTAAAAGCCATTCCCCACATAACTGGTAGCTGAACTCCAATGCGCCCGTCGTATTGTGACCTGACCTCCGTTCTCCACGGCCAGGTCACCACGGCCGCTGCCCGCCACCCCGTCCGTTCTGCCCGCGGCTGAAGCACCACTCCTCCCGGCCGGAGGTGTGTATCAGCGACTTCTCCTGCGGCCACGCCGACAAGTGCTGCTACGACGTCTGCCTCGAGCTGAGGGTCTGCAAGCCGGCTCAGTAGACCTGTAGACTCGGCCCTAGTGGATCTACACGGACTGCGGCTCTGTGGACCTTACCGACTGCGGCTCGGTGAACTTCACGGACTGCGGCTCGGTGAACCTCACGGACTGCGGCTCGGTGAACCTCACGGACTGCGGCTCGGTGAACCTCACGGACTGCGGCTCGGTGAACCTCACGGACTGCGGCTCGGTGAACCTCACGGACTGCGGCTCGGTGAACCTCACGGACTGCGGCTCGGTGAACCTCACGGACTGCGGCTCGGTGAACCTCACGGACTGCGGCTCGGTGAACCTCACGGACTGCGGCTCGGTGAACCTCACGGACTGCGGCTCGGTGAACCTCACGGACTGCGGCTCGGTGAACCTCACGGACTGCGGCTCGGTGAACCTCACGGACTGCGGCTCGGTGAACCTCACGGACTGCGGCTCGGTGAACCTCACGGACTGCGGCTCGGTGAACCTCACGGACTGCGGCTCGGTGAACCTCACGGACTGCGGCTCGGTGAACCTCACGGACTGCGGCTCGGTGAACCTCACGGACTGCGGCTCGGTGAACCTCACGGACTGCGGCTCGGTGAACCTCACGGACTATGGCCCGGTGGACCTCGGCGGACTGGAGCTCTGCTGAGGTGGCTGGAAAGGATCGGCGGGAAAAGGCTTCTTCTGGGCTACGCGACTAGGGCGCTTGCGGGATTTTGTGAACTGACCATGTGTAAATGTAATAAGTACTGTTCTGTTGGGCCCTTGACTTCTTTTCGAACTGTGTATATAAACTATCGTCGATTTTAGCTATTGGGTGCTGCCCGACTGTATGCATTTTTTTTAATTGATTTTAGGCGTCTCTTTTATATCGTAGCTTTCATGCATCGCCTGCGTCACGAGCTCTTACGCAAGCAAGTGTGCGCAATGCACATTCATCGACATTTAGTGTAGGCTGCTGATTTCCTTGAACTTTTTGTAATAAAACGAACTGATTTTATTACGTTTCTGATACCGATCCAATGCAGGGCATTGTGCGGATAAATTGTCAAGAAATGCTGCAATCCTACGCACAAAAAAAAATCAGAACGCTTGGTTCATTTCATCCGTTGATGCTCATCCCCAAGCAGTATAAGCAAGTTGAGCACTCTGAATAAAAAACCGGGGACAATAATAATTGTTTTGACGGACTTTCCATGATCACGTTAAAACTGGATGAATTAGCCCGCATCCTGCTGGGCCGTGTTTGAACACTTCCTTGCAGTTTTTCACAAAACCTAAAAAACGGGAGCAAGGAGTGCCACCGTCACTGTGACGTCATTTCCAAATGGGATAGACATCTTTGAACAACCTCTGGTAGGTAATAGGTATTCGCTCAGGAATATGTGTTCTGAGTTTCGTTTTCTATATCACTTCGCATTATACCCCGATATCGTCGAAGTAAGGAGGGGAACTAGTTACCCCCCGCCCCGCCCCCCCCCCCCCCCACCCCGCCTCCCTCAGCGCGGCGGCCGGCGGGTGGTGAGGAGGCCCAGCGGCTGCCGGGCTAATTAAACAGGCCGTCACACATTGTTCTCATTCTTGGTGGTTTGAGTCTAAACCATTTGAATACAGACGAGCTGCAATCTATGTGCGCTGTGTCCATAAACAGCCGGTTGGTTGCAGTGACGTCACCGGCCGCTCCACAGAAGAGTACGTTCGACATAAATCGGTAGGAAAGCCCCACCCCGACTTCCGGGTCGGCAACAACGTGACCCGGTATTCCACTGGCCAGTTCGTTTCACCCAGGTCAATCAAATGCGGGCACGAAAGGTACACGGGGGCACCATGTGTGCAACATGCGACGAACATATCAATTTGTATGAAGCACCATATACCCAGTGCACCAAGCACCAACCAGAATTTCCGCGCTGTTTCAAGCGCCAAGGACCAAGGCCATTGTTGTCCGGGAATCAAAGCCTGATAGATGAATTCAGAGGCAAGGTGCTTAGCCCTTAGGCCATTTTGCCGACAGAAAAATACTCGTAAATATTACCACCTTCGGTTCTTTTTGCCTATAGGTCTCACCAGAAATTCGTCAGCTACGTGATAAAAACGTTATATAAATAGCTTATAGGTACCAGTCACACTAGCTGATCTGTTTTCCCATCAGCAGCTACTTTTTCCACACGTTGAAAAAGAAAACAAAGTAAAAAAAAGTAATCAACCATGCGTGGTTGATTAACCCACGCAAGATTGGGATGCGTTTCATATGCAAGTGACTGAGGGGAGGGGAGGGGAGCTCTCCAGAGCCCCCGCAGATAGGAGTAGCCTCCTATCTCCGAAACTAGCAGTCCGATTTTCAAAATTCAAACGGCAAATCTTGAAGCCCTGAAGCTCCCAGTCCAGACGCGTGTTTTTCTACAGATCATCTACTGTCTGTATGTGTAGGGAGGAGCGGCTGATTGTCACCTGTCGAGGATCCAAAAAGTAGTAAACTTTACCGCTCGTCTGACTGATCACGGTTGCCGCGGTAGCAGTGAACACAATACGCCCATTTTCGATGCGCTGTCTTGGAGCAGCATTGCTGACATGGTTCATCTGCGCGTTCTGAAGAACGTGCCGTGGGCTTTGCTGTCCGCTGACTCGCCGCCAGCATTGGGCGCCATGTTGGCAACCCGAGCGAAGGCCTCCCTGTGGCTAACTCGGCGACCCGAGCGAAGGCCTCCCTGCGACTAACTCGGGCAACCGTTAGCGGGACTTCACCTTTCGCGCGCGGCGCGCTGGGCTTACATCCAGACAGCGACAGTTCCGCTATATCGTGCCGCCACTCAGCCTGGAAGCGCCGCGACTGTCCGTGATGCCTCTCTCGTGTCCCACTGATCTTACGCTGTGGCCTGTCTCATACATCGTCCGCACTATCTTACATTCTTTTGGCACTATGTGTGACCTGGGTGCAGAATACCCATCATGCGGACGCTCCCCAATACATGAACTTTGAACTTTGAACTTTTTGACCTGACCCCTTCGTTCATGCGTCACAGAAACACAAACTTAGTCACTTATACTATACATACTAAGGGAAGAGCCGTTTGCAGGACGGGCTATCTCGCAAATGCACCGAACTCGACCAAATCTAACCAAATCTCTTTTACAGCCATATTTATTTATTCTACAGCATATTTATTTATTATACATATTTATACAGCCATATTGCATACATATTATACAGCCATATTTATTGGACATATTTTCTTTTATTCATATCATTAATTTCACCATGATAGTCAATCAATCGCGAATAGCAGGTAAACCCCGCCGTAAATATTTATAGCCATCTGCAGGTGCCTATATGCAGTTTGCTGTTTACAGGGCTCAGAAAGGCTCAATACTGCCGCAGGTCGTCATTATAAAACATAGGCCCAGCTCTGTAACGGAACCCGGTTGAGGGCCTATGTCAGTCATTTCGTCGCTTTCGTCGCCAGTTAGTTCGATGACCCTACGGACAGTAGGAGGGTATATGAAGGGTGCATGTAGGGCGGTCAGTGCAGACGGAGACCTCCCGGCGGACCGGTCAGAGCTGAGCAGACGCGATAGTTCTGCCTCCTGTTGGTCACCGACCGCCGCCTGCTAAAACACGGTGAGCTATATGCAGGTGATGGGGAAGGAGTCCAGCACAACATACACTGTCTCATTATTTGTGGTCACTGAAAGACAACGTTAACAGGTTTGACATGAGTAATGTGAGTATTGGAGCCTCAGCCATTTTTTCTACTCATTTCACGTTCAGAGGTAAAGCTGTCACAGCTGGTATGACAAAGAAAAGCTCACTTCGGAGGCTTTGAACAATGCTGGTGAGCTTCATATCTGTTTTCAGTTGTCTGTGTGAGTTCAGTCGCAGATCGTGACAAGATGCGTCTCTCGGCTGTCGTCGTGGTACTGGTGCTCGTGGCCGCAGTCTCCGCCGGTCGTAAGGGGAGCTCCAGCAAAGGTCACCATCCCCCTCAAGGCTCGGATCACGGCTCCTCTAGCTGTACTTACTGGTGCAAGAATAAGTTCCACCAGTTTTACTGCTGCGACAATTCCGGATCGGCAGGTAAGGCCTGCTGAGGACGTCTTGAACCCGCGCATGGCTGGGGTATATGTACAGGGTGGAAAGTAATTACGCGAACATGCTTGGTCGTCTTCTAGCAATGGAAAAAACGGCGGTGACACAAATATTTCGTCTTTTACTACATCCAATTATCTAGCTACGATACACCGACAAAAGCGTTCCGGCAGCATTGTCATCAGCATGTGAAGCACTGTTGGTCAAAGCCTTACCCACACCCCCTGGAGCTGTCCAGTGAGGCAATCGATGATGGTCGCTTCTTGCAGTTTTTTTGACGTTCTGAAAAGTCGCTTGGATATTTTTGATCGAATTGAGGTCTGGGCTATTCCCACTTCCTAGATAAGCTTTTGTATGACCAGAAGAAGAACGGGTTCTCACAGCATCTGGCTTGCATCTGGCTTGCGTCTTGTTGGCCGTGAAAGGAAGAGCTTCAGCAATCATTAAGATCAGTTTCCTTGCGTCGGGCACAAATGTGCGCTTAACCCTCGCCCGCACATGGGGGATTGCCCCCCCCCCCCCCCCCAGGTATTTTTTCTGTTCTGCACTCAATATTTTTAAAGCTAGAAGCCTGATTTTTCGTACAGCTGCTTCCCTATCCTTTCTCACCGTCCACCGAAAATTTCAAGTTTCTGTGTTTTTTTTTGTTTCGGAGATACAACCTTGTTTTTCAGGTCATGTCATGACCCAAATCAGTGACGTATCCAGGATCTTGAAAAGGGGAGGCCAAACCTGCTCAAGGGACCCCACCCTTACCTTCGCGGGGCTCCAGTGGTAGCATGCAGGGTGTCCCAAAAGTAAGGTCATTATTTATTTTTGGTATAACTCCGAAAAAAAATAAAGCAACATAAATGAAAAATGCTTCATTTTGAACGCCAGACTCTTAAATTTTATTGCGATATAAAAATTAACCAATGTTTCACTTCCTTGTCCCCATCTTTACTGTTTTTCGACATGACCACCGTTTCGGGCCGCGCACAGGATCAGACGGCGCTTGGCTTCGTCCGCCACTTTGGCGCAGGTCTCCCGTGTGATGCCGCCGATGGCTACTCAGACTGCTTTCTTGAGCTCACCCAAGTCCTTTGGACTATCCTTGAAGACGACCTCCTTGATGTGTCCCCACAGGAAGAAATCAGGGGGCGTAAGATCAGGTGACTGGGGAGGCCATGCGATGGCGGCGCCCTTAGAAATTACCCGATCTCCCATGAACTCCCGTAGACACTGCGGGGTCTTTAGCCCTCGCGGGCCCGGGGGGGGGGGCGTTTTTCGCCCCCTGGCGAATATTTGCGATAGCTCCCGAACGCCTAGGGATAGGAAAGCAAAACTTTCAGTACCTTTTCTCTCATCAATTTGACATCTTCTGAAGTAAAAAATTTGGGCCTAGCCCCCTTGATGACGTCACAAGACCGATTTTGCTAGACCCCTGCACGGCAAACTTCGGCGTCACAGACGCGAACTTCAAATAGCTGCTAGAAATAGAGTTTTAGAGTAAAGACAAATTACGAGCACGGCTGTGTAGCGTTTGACCTAGAGAAAAATAGAAAAATAGTTTGGGTGACCTGAGGTCAGAGGTCAGGTCAACGACCCCGAAATGTGGTTTTAGTTTTTCGCAAATAACTTCGACAAAAATGGTCGTAGAGCTACGGCAGTGGTACCATCGCATTCGCCTTGTCAAGCCGCGTCGAATGTTATATATTTTGCTTGGAAAAGGTCAGATTTTATGTTGACCTCATGTGACCTCGAATGACCTTTGGTTGACCTTGACACATGAAGGGTCGTTTATGATGCATTTGTACCCGCTGATCACGAATCTGGCATCTATTTTCTTCTAAGCCTTCATTTAGAGCTTTCGGATGGCAAAATTGCCTTCCTTATTTTTACTAACTTGAATCAGTGAAATAGCCTCTACCAAG